AAAGGGGCAAATTTGCACAGTTAAAAGGCAGAGAAGCAAAATTCAGAAACAGATTCTGAGAATAAAAACAACTTTGAAAAGGATCTTGTCATGCAACACAATCAGGATTGAAGATCTTGTATCAAGAATGAATGGAGAAGGAAAATGAACAGCAGATCTGCAAGCAAGCTCAACAAATAAAAAAAAAAGGTGAGATAAAAATGGTTAAAAAGTCCACTTGGGAAGAGCATTGAAGCAGGTAAGGCAAAGCTGAGTCCAAAGTTGTGTTGTGCTGACATACTCTTCAGATATTCAGAAAAGCTGGAATGGAAATTAAGAAATTACAAGAGAATATGTCTGGAGGGAGGAATGGAGACAGGGCAGTGCAAGAAGCAGCCAAAGAAACCATGTACAGAGATAAAGACCAGTGAGTCAAAAGAAGTGAGGCCAATGAAGGAAGGAGGCAGCAGTAAAGATGAAGGAGTCAAAAAGGTTAATAGACTGGAGATCCCAAAAGGAGTGAGTGACAGGGTAGAGGAGAGAGAAAGACAGATAAGCTGAAAGAGAGCAGGTAGTGATCAGAGAAAGGGAATTTAGAAATTAGAGATAATAAAGTGAACAGCATTTAGTAAAGATAAGGTCATGGGAATGATTGAGGCAGTGAGAAAATCTATCTAAAACTAGAAATCACAGGCACTGGGCTGGAAAAACAGAATGACGAACAAAGGATTAAAGTACTGATCAGGGGAAAGGAACTGGGCTTGCCCGTGGGGAGGGATGAAATTTGAAAAGACAGAAACAGGTTGAGTTTAGCAAAATCACAAAGAAAGATGCAAACTAATGACCACTACGAAAACTAGACACAGAGTACTTAAAACTAGGTAGAGGGTAGAGCTGACAACAGGACCAATGAAGCAGAAGCCAGGAGTCAAAGAACTTTAGTGGTGAATATGAATGGAAAATACTTTTTAAAAAGCATCAGAGAAGGGAATAAAGTTTAAACAACAACTTTAAACATCTACATTTGAGTCATGTTCAGAAACATGAGCAGCACCCCACCAGGGTCAGCACCTCTATTTCCCTCCTCTCCAGAAAGATTTCCTCACCCAGATCAAACCAGAGATCAGAAATTCAAGAGACCAACACTGGCTAGACAATGTGGGGATATGACAGGGTTGGGAAAGTTTTGACTATTGAAGTAGATAAGGACTGTTAAAAATTATGGAAAAACAGTGATCTGACCTCTGCCATCCAGCACCTTTATGTCTTCACAAAACCAGACCTGGAGACCTGCGCTGACTCTCCCTCACATCACCTCCTGTTGCTACCAGCTCACACAGCCAATGCAGCATTCACCAGCACTCCAACTCAGCTGTTAAGATTCTCACCACACAGCAGTGTAACAGCAAAGAGAAGAGGTTAAGCAGACAGACTGCTGCAAACAAACATCACTGCGATTTTGGGTCCCATTCTGAGGTATCTGAGAACCACTGGCATAAAAGTTCTTCTCCATTTCCAAGCCTCTGTCAAGAATTCCACTCTACAGCTTTCCTAATCACGAGCATGAATAAAACACCAGCCTCCTCAGACACTTCTAATACTGCATTTCATCTTCTGCTATACTGGCATGCTTTTAAAGTTTCTGCTCATTACAAAAAGACAACACACTTCTATTGCCTGCTCATACAAGTGGAAGCTGGATCATTAGGAGTGCAACAGAGGAGGGGAAAAAACCCAAATTATTCCCTGCTACCAAACCAGTGGACACACGGAGAGTATAAAAAGTGAGCTGAGCACATCATTTCTATCTACCCTACTGATTACTGTTTATTTGTGTGTGTAGATGTGGTTCACTCAAAATTACTGAAACTTACATAAAAATCAACTAAAATATAAAGAGTTCACAGGACTGGGGCCATAACGGGAGCTCTTTGTTATTTTTATGCTTTATCACATATTTTAATATGGCTTGAAAACAATTTTAAATTTAATTTAAAATTTTAGTTTAAAACACAATACATTGGATGTAGTACTTTAAAATAATCTTTTAACAAATAAGACAAAAATTATTTTTGTTTAGTGTACTGTCTTTTGTTACAGTCAAGAAATCTCACCTAAAATCAAACTGAAAGCAGTAAGTTGTCCACAAGATAGGCAGCATCTACTGTAACATATATATCTAAAATAGAAAAGTTTGAAAAAAATATCAGAGAAACACTGTAATTTTTACATTACATTTAATACCTGTATGTTTTATTTCTACTGGACTACTGCACAGTAGGGGAGCTTTCAAGACAAAGGGATTTTATGCAATGTTATTCAAAGCACAAAGTTCACTCCTGACACAAGTTAATACTGGAGCATTACTGAAATAAAAGGAGGAAGCTGGTCAGACATTTTGGGTAGAAATGTAACATGTTTTCTTTAAAGTAAATAAACACATAATGCCATAGCTCAAAATAAATAGTGCCAAATGTTATCACCAACATATGAAAAAGAGGATGGTGGTTTGGAAAAGAAAATATTTTATAAGCACAGAGCATACATTGGAGTGCTATAACAAGACTTACCATTTTTATATATTACCAGGTACTTTAGGGAAAGATTCTACAATCTCCACTTATGTAAGCAGTTCTATTAACCCACATTGGCTTTTTAATTACAGAGTTTGGTACCAGAGTCAGCTGCACCATTCATTTCACAGACTTTAAGTCAGGAACAACGATTTCTTTTCCTCAGCACAATATTTAATCATAAATACTAAAAAACCCACATTGCTAAAAAATTTAAATGCTTAAGTACTCACATTTACTAACTCTTAGCTCGTGATTCTTTTACTCAACACACCCTTCCAGGGGAGGGATATCTATTAGTAGTCTCTGGCAGGAAAAGTTCAATATTTTATGCATAATATTAGATACAAATAGCCTGCATTGCATTTGTGGTTTTTTGGTGTTTTTTAAATGTTCTATTATGTTTCAGAAAAAAAAATTGAGTACCTATGCATATTACGAACTAATTCTGGGAGTCAAGCAAATATTGTGCTGCCTTTTTCAATACAAAGCATTTCATTCTATGACATGTGAAACACTGTTATAGAATATAACCATCATGTTTTAAATTATACAGCCATTTAATAAATGAAAACAAATCTAGAGGTTGCTAAACACAAGCAAAAGTTTCTCAAATACTTCTTTCCAACAAACTGTTCCACTGAAGTTCTAATAAGGTTGAGTGCACACAGAAGTGCGAAATAAAACTAAAGTTTCATACAATTTGTCCTACAAAACCTGGAAGCAAAAAATAAAGTCTGTATTAAGATAAGCTGATGATCTGGCACATACCATCTAAAAACTCCCTTTGGTTTTTTTTTTCCAAGCACAATTTTCATAGTATTTGTAGTTTTAAAAAATACAAAATCAAAAACAACCCTGACCCTCCCTTGACTCCCTTGAACACAAACTCAACAAATAGTTTTTTATTCTTTGAGCATTATATCAAATAAAAATTACAGCTGCACAGAGAAACAAACAAGCAAAACAATCTGAGCATGCAGGGATGTGACTGCATCTAGAACCTAAATGTGTATGTACATATTGCTGCTTTTATTTGAACTAACTTTTTACCCACATAAAGAAAAAGACTTAACTGACAGTAACAGCTCCTTAGCTGCTATCATTGACAATAATTACCTTTTGACAGTTCAATAAAAAAAGTTCAGTCTTGAAACTCAGGGAATTTCAATCCACTCTCCATTTTCATCACATTTAAAAACAAGACACATTCCTTCCTTAACAATGAAAATATTATATAAGCATACCCCAAAAGGCACTAAGGTCTAACAAAAATATTGAGCATTTGCTTTTAAACTAATAAAGTATCTGTAAGACAGTTTGCATATATAATTATTTCCCAAATTAAGGCGTGGCGACTTTCTCTTAAACATAAAAGCTATAATTTACTTCTGCTAAATATAAAACTAAGTCTCAGGATACAGTATACAAAGATCATATATTTATGTAGAATACATTTTGTGTTATCCTAGACTATTATACCTTTGCTAAAAGATTTAAGTATTTAGAAAAAAATTTAAAATTTAAATATACCGTAAGGTCATTCAAATTATTTTAAACACAAACATCTACAAACAATGACATATACACAAACAGTTGGGAAGTTGTAACTTAAAGATCACATCCTTTAATCAGACCTGCTCAAAGGACAGCCACAGAAGAACCCTATTGGCTACAAGAAGCATCTGCATGTTTTTAAGACTGAACTATGCAGACTCCCATTGCCCCAGGGCAGTGCTGCACAAGTCTATTGAAAACGACCCAATTGCTGAATCAACACCTTAAATTTTCCCAGAAAACCTCCGACAAATGTTTTGTGTATATCATGAGAGACAAACAAAACAAAAGGGGACGTTACAAAAATTTCAACATGACAATTTTTTCCTGAAATCATTTTTCCATTGCATTTGGCAAGCAGAGAACTAATTCTATGCCTTGTCTATTCTTACAGCAAGAACTGCAAACTACAACTCAATATAAAATACAATAAACTCTTGTAATAATTATGTTCCTCTCAGAACAAAGATTAAAATAAAGTTAACTGTGCTGATTCATACTTTCCATAAATTACTAAAAAGGTGAAAGATTCAGACATTTTGCTTCTTGATAATAAGCCTAATATCTGTATCATGTGCAAAAGTGCAACTGTGTTTTAGAACTGAGGCCCAACTGAATACAATTTTGTTATTACAGAAAGCATACTTGAACCCACTAACATGGAAACAGTGGTACACGGCATCTTAAAATTACGCTTTACGTATTTCAACCTGTCGTACAACCGCAAGTTAGTAAAAAAAAAAAAACAAAAAAAACCCCACAAAACCCAGAAATAAACAGAAAACAACAAAGCTTGTATATAAATTGGTTTACAATTCAAAGCACAACAGTAAGCTTCAGATGACGGCATTATTGCGAGCCACAGGGCGGGTTGGATGATGTGTCGCTGTCGCTGCCGGGCCCGGGCGCTGCTCAGCTGCTGGCGGTGAGTGCGTGCATGCGCTTCGCCACATCGTACACGTAGGTGATGTCGGGGCGCTTCTCGGGATCCGGGCTGATGCACATATTAACTAATTGTCGCAGCTACCAGGGGAGAGAGAACACGACAGCAGCGTTGGTCTTCTTACAAGCACGATTTGCGCATTATCAAATTCAAATTAATCCAACTGGCAGAAAGGAGGCAAAGGGCGATTCTGCACAAGCACACAGCAGCCGTCCCTCTCTGCTAACGCGCTGCACGCAGCCCGATGCAAACATGTATGCAACACTCCCCTGGTCTCTACATTTTGCACCGCTGTCCAGAGAAACTGATGAACAAATTTAAGTTCTAATCCTTTCAGCATATAACTTTAGACATGCATTTAGTCCAATCCCACATAATTTATAGAAAATTTCCCTGTGTTTCTGGAGGGCTGTGCCTGCAAAGCCCAGAATGAAGGTAAGCGAGGGCTGCTCTGCTCATTCAGTCCTGATACAGGAGTTAGCCAGCAATAAATGGCATTTCTGCCTGACACGGCCCAACAAACACAAGGCACCGGTGCTCCATCTAACACACAGTTAACCCCCAGAACCTCCTGCTGCCAGGAGCTACCAATATACACACATTTATTCAGCCCTGAACAAATTAAACCCACTGAGGGCTACCTGCTATACCACCCTTGAGGAAATATCTGAACTTAAAAGTGGAAGCTGGGAAAGTATTTGGGCAAGTACCACATTCTGCTGGCCCTGTTACTGCACTTGTCCACTACTGAAAACATGATATAGGAATAAAAAAACTTTGGCCTACATCCCAACATGCATTCCTTAGAATTAGATTGTTATTAGTGTTCTTTATGTAAAGAAGCACAATTAACAAATATTCACAAAAGCCTCTATCTGGGAATAAACAAATCATTATGACCAGAAAATCCCGTTTCCAGAAACACCATCACCTATTGGGTCTTTTTAATAGGCACTTTAAGCACAAGCAACCCAAAAGAGCTTCCACACCACCTGCATACTTTTCATTGCCTTCACAAACTGTCAGGACATTTGCAGGCTTTTCTCCCTCCACTGAAATGCCTCAGAATTTATGACATTAGAATTTAACATATTGTATGGATAATCTTCTGATAGGGCATCTATCTTAAATTGTGTGCATCTCCTAAGCAATTTTCAACGTGGAACATACCTCCTCCATACTGACTTACTGAAATGTTCAATGCTTTGCAAAAACAACTAACTCTGAACATCTTCCTTTATACTTTTAAATAGTTTTGCTAAATCCTCCTAGAACTCCTTATAGAACTGGGGACAGGTGGGGAGGGAGGGGGAGGACACTCCAACAAACACATTGTGATCCAGTCTTCTACGACAATATAGCGAATTAGGTTTGGTCTCCCAGCCAGTACAACTTAGGTAGAATTATTGAAAAAAACCTGTAATTATTGCAACTAACACAGAGCAACCTCATCACCCTCATTTTATTCAAAAGTAACACAGGCTGTCTCTTTAAACATGCCATTGAAGGGTTTCCTTCCTGCTTTTCAGACAAAGAACAAGAAGCATTTTAAATTGTAATTTTACTTCTTTCACTTTTCTGAAGATTAATTTAAATGCATGGGAATAGGAATTCCTGAAGTTAAGGAAGAAGCACTGCATACTGCTTTATAAAGCTTTGTCCATTAGCCCTTGCAGGCAAACTGTACATACTGTTGAATACAAAAAATCTGTACATTATAAAAATGATGCCATTAGACATCCCATTCTTTAGTAAGAAGAGCTCAATATTCAAAAGCAAGGTAATTCTGAAGATAGTGGTCAGATTACTGGATTGAAAACAAACATATTAAATCGAAATAACCTGTAACAGACTTGCTATTTGAATTTAAATACATTAAGTGTATTCTGACTAATGGAGTTATAAAAGCCATCATATTGCTTCTGGCAGTCAATAAATAAAATACAATGCCAGTGGCAATAAAAACGATTAGCCTGCAATAACTCCCAAACATTTGAAGAACAGAATGCTGGAAATCATTAGCTGCTGTAAGAAATAATAATTGCCAGCATGTAATACAAACATGCAAACTAAACAATCTCCTGCAGAAGTAGCAGGTGGGGCACAGGGTAAGCAGGAGGCACAGTAAAAGCAGAGATGAGCAGTTTGCCATGCAACACCTCAGAAAGCCTGCAGAGAAAACAGAAAAGACTGAAGAACATCCAATACCATCAAGCCTGAAATTAGAGTCAAATAAGCAAACATTTTGTGAAGAAAATACAGGTGTAATTTATCTGCAAAATGCATCTAATCCCGAATATATAAATTTCTCTCTCTGTGAAGACTTTCATCTGTTCAACAGAACTGCATACAGTGAATACTCTTCATAAAGGACCTTGAAGGGTTGAAACCCACAAAGCCAGCATCAGAGAGGAAAGAGTGGTCTTTCTCCTGTTTTTACTAGCTGTTTATTAATACTTTACTGTTGTAGAACAGCAGAAATAGATCTCCAAAAAATTTACCTGTTCAGGACTTGAGAAGCCTTGACACAGACCTCTTTAAATGGCAGCCACTGCAATTACTGCAGTTCTCTCTTCCCTTGGCAGGTCCAGAATCTCACTGGTAAGGCAGGAATGCTGAGCTGCCATGCCTGGAACACTGCACAACAATAGTGCAGATTCCTGAGAAATTTCAAAATCCTTGAGCTCTTTTGGGCCTTGTAACTGAACAGCAAACCCTTGGAAGAAGTTGAATTAATTCTGCTATACAGGATGAAAAGTTACATGGGAACAGAGTCTTTCAGGACTGAAACTGGGACCACACTCGATGCTAATACTTGGTTACAGCACTGATCCTTTACTCCTACAGGAATATCCATTTCAATAAACCTGAAATCCATCTGTCAGCCCCTCTAGTACTAATAAAGTTTCCAGTGTATCAGAAAAGCTCACAGTGTCATGGGAAGAGGCACTGGGAGTCTAAAATCAGACTATCATTAGAGATAGAAGCAATTTTTCACTACCTGGCACAGACTGGCCATGAGGCAGAGCAGACTGAGCCAGAGGGACCTCCTGTTGCATCCCCAAGCTGCAAACTTCTTTGTCTGCTTATTGTTCTTAACCTCTTCTGTGCACTTAGCACAGTGACTGTCTTTAGCCTGGAGCTTAGCCTGACACTGGAGCAGTGGGACACACTTTCTTTAACTTTAGCAGGTTTTTCAGCTATGAAATAAATAATTGTCACTCAAGTCAGGAGGAGGGGGGAAAGACAGAAATATGACAGGCAAGTACTTTGCATTGTTAGGCAGCTGAAACAGAGGAATTTTCATATAGGGAAGTTTGGATTAAAAAACTGCACACACCACCATTCTTACTCTGAATAAAACCTTCTTGAAGCCTTTTCTGAGTGCTTTTCTCGAGACCTGCTGGCAGCTAACACTACCATTGTGGACCTGCTGGCTCCTTCTGCTTTCACATCTGGGTAGGAGGTTGGCAATGGACTTTAGAAGAAATGCACCTCAATCAAAGGGAAGATTTTAAAACTTCATCATGAAAGCAATGTGATACTAATATTAGCTGACAAGATTTTAAGAGTATTGATTGGAGGTGGCAAGGGAGCCCCAGCTTTGAATTCCCTAAAGCAGAACAGCTTTCAGTAAATGCTGAGTACTGACTCTGAATACCATATGTTTTTAAGGGATACTAAAAAATTGAGATATCCAAAGTTATCAAGCATTTGAAAATCTTGGCTTGTGTCTACCACTCAAGCAATAGTTTGTGAAAATGCATCTCAGACTATCAGGATTTCTTATCAAAGGTTTTTAAAAACATTACCCATCTGTCCATCTAAAGGTGCATCTTTATGTCACACTGTTCTCTGATGAAACAGATGTGACAATTACTAACATGCTACTTTTACAGAGGTTTCAAAACTTAGAAAAATGTCACACCTTGAAACTTACTAAAATTTACTTACAATAAGTTTTTTGGAAAAGCACTAGTCCTGTATTTCATAATGAAAATATTTACATTCCTATATTAGAGAATGCAGAGATCAACACTCAGTGAAGTTTTTATTTCAGAAAATTCTTTTTCATAGAAAATGAAGTGGGTTTTACAATTCAGTGATCCCTGATCTTTACTGCACACTGAGTGTCCTTCCAACCTGGCTAAGGGTTTGACATCTATATTTCCAGTAGAGGTGAAACATTTAGGACGGTATTCCAATATGACAGATAACACTTTTTGTTTCTCTTTTTTACAGTTCATGCCAGCACAGTATTTTTTGTACAAGCTAAAAATGGTTTATTTAGGTGCAATAGGTAATAAATGTATGTTTTCCACATACCTTAGTGACAACAAATAGCAGAACATAAAAAATATTCCCATTACAGTTTCCATAACTGATGGCTTCCTTTAAGAAACTGTTTTCTACCTTAATACCTATAATAGCTCTGATTCTCTCATTATCTTTAAGAATAACTTACATGTATTTTGCAGATAACTGGCTTATCCAAGGTGCAGAAGTACATGTCTGCTTTGAAATGAATAGAAAGTAGCACGTTGTGCTTTGCATGTGTTCACAAAACAAAAAACCTATATAGATGTAAGGAAAAGCTGGAATCTCTCTCCCCACCCAAACTCTAAGACCTATCTGGGCCAGACTTTGATATTTGCCCCTTGGCTGGGAATCCACATCTCCAACTTCACACTTAGCTGCAGTGAAGTAGCCTTGCAGGCAGGCCAACTTCAACGAACCACTAGTGGTATCATCATTAAAATCCTGCTGAAGGTCACCATGGAAACCGCCTGCTGAGGTTTCGCTGCTGCATTCGGCATCTCCTAATCAGCTACCATGTGAAATGCAAATTCAGACAGTCTGAAAATTAGTCAAGAAGAATAGAGGATGAGGATGCAGATATGTGAAATATTCATGTGCTTCATGGAAAAAGGAAGACAGCATGAATGACACAACAAAGAACGGCCCCTGACATTCTCGCTATCATTTTGCATTATTGTTCACACCCTACTGTATTTCTAGGCCTCCAGTTCTGAAGTTGGTTATATGAACTGCCATATTTAGAGTCTACAATAAATAATAATTAAAAATGGCCAAGGCAAAATGACTAATCGGCAAACCCACAAAGAGCTGGAGCGTATAAATTACACAATAGATCATTATTTCATCCTTTGTAACGTCACCAAATTATCTTTTTTTTAAGTCCAGTTTGTTTCATAAAAAGGGAAAAATTGTCACTATAAATACAAAACAAACCACTGAGCAGTAATCTTTTATTAATAGTCCAATCACTGTCTGTGAATGCAAGAAAATTTAAGGTTCAGAGTTACAACCCCTACTCTATAAATGAAATTGTATAATGCTTTATGTTTATTAAAAGTATTTGAGTGCTTGTGTTTATTTGCGTTTTCAAAGTAATCTTTAATTCATGTAGTCTGAATTCAATTAGAATTGGTTACTAATACCTGTTCTTTGGTTTACAGCTTCTATCAGTTTGCCCTGTTCTTTTCAAAGTGGGAAAATATTTCAAAACTGGCATCTCAGAACATTAACAAGCAAGCATTTATATTTTTTCATTCTGTTACACTAAGAAAAATATTTATTTTGTTTCATTTCATTTTAGAGCTTATAAAAGCAGTACTCCCCCTTAAATGCACTAATGACAGTAAGAACTGTTAGCTCTCAGCTTAAAACAAACGCTGCTGAGATTTGCAGTATATTGTTCAAATTCAATTATATTATGTCTGCCTGTATTGCTCTGAAATTTACTCTTAGTCTTGTCAAGAACCACTCCTTGCAGAAGAGCTGCTGTTCCATTTTACTGAACGGCACATCCCAGTTTTATAATGCAGACAAACGGGACCAGAACAATTTGTTTCTACTACTGAGTTACATTATATCTGTTTTAATGCAGGCCCCTAGAGGAACAGGGCCAGTGCACTAATTTACTGTGCAATATAAACATGTATAGTTGTGCTTTTAGAAAAACACCCCATAGATGTAAGACTCTATCCCATCCTGGCATGTGGAACATATCATTGTGCATTCTGGGAAAGCATTTTGTCATACCTGCAAGGAAGCCCAATGAAATTAAGAATCTAAAAGTGTGACGTTTCCATCATTAATACCCTCAAATATAAATCATGAGAGACTTGTTTTGACAGGAACATTTGAGTGAGTTCAACAAGCAAACACTTATAGGCATAATCTGCAAATAACATAAAATCACACAAGTTCATTTACTTCCCTGGAAGCGTGCCAGCTTACATAAACTGGAGATCCAGCCCATGAAAAGGAAAATTACTTACTTCCTCTGAATAGTGATCTGAAGGGAGTGGTGGGTAGTCACACTGTTCTATCTTCTTGCACAGAGAGTACAAGTTCATTTTATCACCATAAAAGGGACTCTGCAGTGCAGCCATCTGTTTAAAGAAAATGTACAGTTTTCTTTTGCATTTTTAAGAAAAGCTATTTTGTCATAAAATCCGTTAATAGTAACAAATCAAAAGTGATTCTTAATGACTTTCAATGCTCTGCTTAGAGGGAGCATTGCAGTGATAATAACAGAAGTTGCAGAACTGTTTCTGTAACCACTGTATGAACTATTCTATGTCATACAACCATAGCTGGCACAATCCTTACAGTGCAATACCTGAACTGCACTCTGTTAGGGTTTTATTAATAGACATGAGGGGAAAATCAGTAGTTTACAATATTGCTGAGTGGAGGGTCCTTGCAACACCAGGGACATCCAAAAAATCGAAATTTCTGTTTTTCCTCAGAAGAACTTTCGTAAGAAAATACAGAACTTACAGGAAAACATTATCTAGCCTAAAGCAATGCATTGTGTAGATAACACCAGGTAATGGTAGCAGATTTCATAACCTTCCACAGCCATGACATTAGACTTCAATATAATTGGGAGTTTTGAAAGCAAGAAAAAGCTATCATCAATACTTCCAAAATCTCAGACCCAAAAATTTCGTAATTCAGGACATTATTCAAAAATATTTGAAAAACAAATTCCCAAACTTCCATCAGAAGCAAAGAACTAGCACCTACGGCAATAATTTACAATTGCAATACAAAATCAAGAAAATCTGTTGCAGACTACTTATATACTTGATCAGCTTAAACCCAGCAGTAATAAACCTACCCTTTATTTCCAGACAATGTTACAACTTGACATTTGAGATAGAAACAAATGCTATGGCTAGTTGGATCAGAAATTTTAAAATTCATTTAAAATCTCTCCATTCTGTTAAAAGCCTAAGAAATCTTTTAACTGCAGCAGCACGAATGCTGCTCTGAGTGCAGAGCTGCCCCAAAGTCAGTCACCCTTTTCTACATGTGCTAATAAGTTTGATTTTGGAAGGACAATGTGTACATTCCCCAGACAGGCAGAGTGTGTGTGAAACACGCTAGTCCATGCTGTGCTACTCAGTGAGCTTCAGCAGGGACAGGACAAGCTGAAAATGGCTCTCATCTGTCTTGTGGTCTTCCAGATAGCAGTTTAACTCTTTCATGTCTAAGCATTAATATCACTGGGGGAAATGTATGAAAAGAATTACCAAAATTCCCTTCCATTTATTTTACGTCTCATTAGTTTGCTCTCAAGTAGTTCAGTACTTTTCTATATCACATTCATGAAAGAATATAAAATGCTAAAGCCCCAAAACAAGTATCATGCTGCAGTTCCATCCTACACTACTCCCAATCTGTATTACTAAAATCATGTTAATTTTTGTATTTACATGACATTGTCTCTTACCTTAAAAAGAATGTTAAAAATGCAAGCTGAAGACCAAAAAAGAAAAGGAAAAAAAAAAAAAAAAACAAAAAAGAAAAATCAACTGCAGGGTCTGTACGCACGTAGAAATTCTAAATAAATGCACAGATACTCATTTTCATACTCTAGGTGTTCATTAAAAAGTACTTTTGTTTGAATGCTGCCGAGTGTTAAAAAAAATTCTGAATGTCCCCTAAGGAGTTAAAACAGGAATACTATATTTTCATGCATCTCCTGCTTTGACAGATGAAAAATGTCAACTGTCCTGTTTTTATTTTCAAGCTTTTGCACTATTCATCTGGTTCATTAGTGCATCTCGCTGCTGCCCCTGACAGCTGCTCGCCCTCTCCTCCCAGCAGCTGAATTTTTCAGGCTAATTTGATCCTCCACACTGAGACGATCGCTAGAATGATTGACTTGCTCCCTGACCTCCAGGGTCTGACTTTGCTGATTAGTATTCTGGGGGTGTCTGAGGGACGAAAGCCCACTGTCTGTCTTCAGGGCTGGTGGCAGCTCGCTCTCTCTCTTTTTTTTTTTCCCTTTCTTTTTTTTTTTTTTTTTTTTTTTTGAACTGTAAGCCACCAACCTACAACCCTGTAAGGATGCAATTGCTACGATGAACAATAAAAGGAAATGTGTAAGACCTACTTTTCCATGTAAAGGTCCATGTAGCAAAAGCACAGCATCTTGATTTTAATTAGTAAAGTCTACTTTGTTGCATATCAATTAAAACTCCACTGGTAGTGTTTTTCAGGTTTCAGAAATACCTGGGGCTCTAAAAAATTCAGACTTTAAAACATACTTCTGCAAAATCTTATTAGCCACACAGTTAGCATTGAATAATAGATTGTTATACAGGCTAGAAATAATAATTGTTAAAAACAAGTTAGTTTAAATCTGAATTAAAATGTAACTGAAGAGTTTAGCAGCAATTAAGCTTTTACTGAGATGTGATCAACTTGCCACAGCTTTTCTCCAATTAAGCTGGAGACAATCCAGAGTACATATGAACACATATCACCATGAAATCAACATAATAAAACATGCTAAAATGCAGGCAACAGACAAATCACAGAAAGACAAAACTGCACAGACTAAAAAAAACACCATTCATTAGTCCACACAAGTCTTGAAGAACCTTAAGTAACCACTTTGCAATAATTAAGAAAAAATATTAAGTGAGAAAAATGCTGAGCATGTATCTTGAATTTCCTGTACCTGAAATTTCAAAATCACAGATAAATGCTCAAGATAAACAAAACAAAAAAAGAAAACCCACCACAAATATCTGATATGTTGCAGAATAAACTAAATGCACTTCTAAAAGAAATTAAAAGCTATAGCTGGAGACAATGCCCAATACTGTGGCTATATATCAACAAGGTCCTAATAATTATTTTATTCTTGCAATAAGGAAAACTAACACTACCCCATACCAGCTTAAATAGCATCCTGGTAAAACCTCTAAAATAAATCAAAGCAGAATGGTATTTCAAGATGCTGAGTTAATCAATGGAACTGAGTTATTTAGGTATTTTGAGATTATCTACCACATCAAAGAAAGATGTAATATTCATAGGTGTTTAATATACTCTACCAGCATTAAGGCAGCAAGCTATAAAAAAATCTTTAGAAAAGTACTACTGATTTATATTAATTTCATATAGCATAAAAGAAACATTAACCTTCAACTGTGGAGATTTTATATAATAGTAATTCAAAGGTTTTATTTGTTTGTTTCCAGATTTAAAAAATCCTCAAGTAAACTAATGAGAGGCAAAGAAACCAAAACACTGAAAAATGCTCATCTACCTTTATGCTACCTTAGGGCTTGTGTTAGTGTGTAAAGCAGAGATCTGAAATTCAAGGCAGTGCCATGGTCAGTACTGAGGAATCCCAATACAGGATTAGGTTTTAGTTCAGGATTCAAACTTCTAAATACTTGCTATCAGCTGGACTTCCTTCCTTGAATTATCCCTAAGATTTAAAGCAACAGCCTTACAGACATCTGTAAACTGCACACTTGCAGTATAGCTATTTCATCTTTTAATATTCAAAGCAACGTGTCAGTGATAGAAAGTAAACAAATATTACTGGAGATGATTCACCTAGCAGTAACACCCAACCTCAACAGGCTGCCAATGTCTTCTACAAAATCCTAAAATAAACAAGGAGGTGCTGATACTGCTGAGTATGTGTTAAATGAATTTTGCTGACCCACTGAGGCAGGTGACTTGTAGGTAAACAAAAAGTGACTTGAGTGTATCAGTTCCTACCTAGAACATGACTGGGGAGACTGCACAGCCATTGCTGATGGAACCATTTTTTTTCCCAGCATCGTTTAACACACGTGTTTGTTCTTCTAATTAAGAAATGATATTCAAAGGACTTCGAAGATTAATTTGTTTTAGAAGCCTACCTGTTCTTCATACCATCACTTGCCTCCATTTTAATGTGCCCTGCACCTTTATTTTCTCAAAATATAGTATTATTTAAAATTATGTGTCACCTACCAATCTCGACTGTACCAATGAACAAAGTAAACAACTGCAGTTTAACCATCACAGGAGAACAGAAAAATTACATGTGTGTGCAGCAGAAGTTATGAAACTGAGAATTCATCCAAGCTACTAGCACTAAGTACAGTAAACTTTTTGCATCATTTTACTTATGTTGAAGTATTTATAAAAATATGAAATTTGTATTAAAATAACTGTATTGCAGTTTCAGAAAGCATTACTTACATATTCAAATCAGTCCTACTACTCAATGCATTTATTAACAAAATCACAAAACCAGCATAGGTCATGAAAACACTTAGAACAATTTTTACATGTGCTTGCTATTATGCATTTATTAATCCTTCAGTCATGCCCCATCTTCAAGAAATTGCTGTAAAATCTTTGTAGCAAGCCCAGTTAAAGGCAAGTTCAAGTAAAACATAAATAAAAGTATTTCACATGCTGAAGTTATGTAAGGGGAGGGGGGCAGGGGAAGGGGAAAGTTCAAGAGTGTTATTAAGTTCACTGTATATATCACTATTACCTCATACAGCAGACAGCCTAGAGACCAGATGTCAGACTTGAAGTTGTAACCATTTTCATGTATTCTCTCTGGAGACATATAATAAGGTGTACCAACTGCAAAAAAACCACAAGTATTTTTGAATGAAAATTTCTGTTGTTATGCAATAGTAAAATTACAGTTTTCCTGGTAGAAGAAATATTCTTCATCTTTCTCATTTTGTTACACTTAAAACTTCAATTCATACTTGGGACACTTCAGTTTGACAGAAATACATGTTTAGGTATCTATTTCATCCAATGCAGCTTTATTTTCACTGCTCATACCTCATTATCAGAGCTATGCAGTTGTAGAATACTTCCAAATTTTGCTTTTAAAGAACTTGATAAGTAATTTGTTTCTCCTGAACAGAACCAACAGAAGGTACTACACACACACATCCCTGCTACTTTTCCAAAATGTTATCACTGTGGCTAGAAACAACAGCTAGAAATTCTCCTGCATGGGCTGAATTTTGGTTTTTTGTTTCACAAGTTCTGTTCTTCCTTTGAGAATATATAAATCTGAAAAAGCTGGTTTTGAAACTAAAAAACACAGCTACTTTGAATAGCTGAAATTAAAAGTGAGCCTGAGATTCAGGACCTTCAGAGATGAGGGCAAGAAAACCAGCGAGCCCAGCAGAAGCTCATGGGCCATCAGCTGTAGGACTGAATTCCACAAGGGCTTTTCAGCTCCCAAACCTGTGCCTGTCCCAGCTTCATCCTGCCTCAGAGCTGTGGGATCCGGAAATGTCTGCTCTTGAAAAGCAGCATTTATTAGGACTGTCCCAGAGTAAATTTATATTGGATACTCTGGAACATCCCTCCCCTTGATTTTAATCAAACCCTACCCATCTGTGACACAAGTCACTTGGAAGAGAGAAATACTGAGAGACATTTTAGGTCTATTAAAAAGGTCATTACAAAGAAGTAGCTGAGTGATGGTTTCATGTATGACAGAGCAACAAGAAAAAATAGTTATGGAAAATAATGGTGGTGACAATTTTAGGGCATTGTTTCTGAACTTTCTCCCTGTATCCCCCCAAAATGACTGCCTAACAGCAAAACAAAGGCACAGAGCTATACAGATTTTTATTCCAATTTTGTTTGAATATTTTCTTAAGCACTGAACCTTGGTGATGAAAATCAGCTGATTTCTGTCAATTCAAGTTGATTTTATTTTGAAACCAAACATCTTGCAACATCATCCAGTGATTAAAATCGGCAATTTCTCTTTTTTGTACTTTGTGGTATGAATCTCACATATTATTGTAACACAAGGATCTGGTTTCACTTCTGCTCTTCTGAATAGATGAGGCTAATTCAGACTTGATCTGTGTATGAATACTGGAAACAGAGATACAGTGGATATATAAGTACTTCCACATCTGAATAATCAGGTTAAATAGTTTTAAGCAATTAGACAGTTAATTCTACTCTAATAATTTCCAAAAGTTAAGGGTTTTGTTTTGACAATGTGCCCTACCTTTAAGAAATGCTGCATGTCAAACTATGTCACACATTCTTAGCCAGTAGGGAGGAGGGAGAATTACTTTCCTACTTGAAGGGCCCAGCTCAGTATAGGGAAACCCAGAATCATCTATCTCAGGTCAGGCCATGGCTGCTGGTAACCCATAATTTCAGCTGATCTGCTCCTTGGCAAACAATGTTGAAAACCCGTATGAACTGCTTCTGTAACAGACAGGCAAAGGCAGGAGTCCCCATGTGCTACCCTTCAATGGGTGTGGCCCCTGAACATTCTGGGGAGACTTCAGCCCTGGGAAAGCACAGAGTGCCACAGCCCCTGTCCCCCAGCACAGCTCTGAGCTGAGGCTGTGAATGCCAACAGCCTGAAAGGAGAAAGGCTGGGGAAAGGCAACTCAGACAACTGTGGGAGAGACATTTACTCTCACAGGATGTTTGTATTCATCCACAACACAGAATGGTCTTTTCCCTGTGAAACAATAGGCAAGCAGATGAGTACACTACAATGCTAAAATAACTACCAAAATATACAGGAGCAACTGTTTTCTAATCAACACCAGTACTTTAATGGGCACTTAATGACACATACCTTCAGATTAGAACTGCAACTAAACATTTGGAATGACACGAATTTCATATTTTTATTATCTTACTCTTTTATTTCCCTCTTGAATTTATTTTAACACCCCAAGGACTTTGTGAGCTTGGATGCCTCTGAAAAATTTCAGCTGCATTTGGTATCAATTAATTAAAGCACTGGTTTAGTATATTCTGATGTTTTGTTGGCAGAATTCATCTAACAACAGAAATAAATTTAATAGTAATGTGGTTGTTCACTGGCTAGAGCAGCAGTGCCTCTGCTGCTCTGAGGTATCACACAAGTGGCTGGCAGTGAGTAATGTGCCAGAAAGAGGCTTCACAGAATCCACAGGGGGCAGCTGAAAACACTGAGGTTTGAAGGTTCATAGTCTACCAAAAGCAAAGGTAATTTTAACCAGTAGCTCTGGGAAGCCTGCTGATACATTAGGGGTCTGATATGACTGTGAAAGATTGATGATAGTGAAAAGCAAGAACAAATGTTACTATTTTACAGCGTTTAGCCTAGTGTAACACCTTCACTGCAATACAACCTGAAGCCCCTGATGACCAACTAGTGAAAGGAATTGAAATGAGTTACGTTACTCACGGAATCACACAAACAACCTGAAGATTCAGACATCATTACTACTTGTAAGCTGTTTTTAACAGAACATGACACTAAAAATTCATTATTCTGACATTCAGGAACTACTGAAAGCATTGCAATGATCCCTTTAACAGAGTGAGCACTCTCAGGACATAGCTGTGCTCCTGGTAAACAACTACCACTGTGATCATATGTTATATTTTCTTCCTGGATCTTTTTTTCTGTTAAGTGAAATACAGCATCCCAGTAGTATAGAGATATGCAACTTCCTGACTTCCTTTACTCATCTGAAGACACATAAGTGGAACAATACAAGAAAATAAGCTAAATCTTTGAGGTGCCTACATTTTTTAGAACAAAATCAGTCGCTTCGGCGTTCTGCTTCCTGCATTTGCAGACTTGTGATAACCTGCAAGTCTGAACAGTAAACTTGAAAGTGGTCTGGGTCAAATACAGTGTCTCCTCAGAACCTGTTGCTGCTCTGGAGCTCCCTCCCTTTAAAGATGCTGTAGATCCAGAAAGTGTTGATTATCCAAGCTTCTGTTACTGGCAGAGGGAATGGACATAACGAAAATCGTGGTTAACACAGAGCAGGGAGCTGATTTGAAGGATCAGAGGCAAAGAATCTATTACAAGAAAGGGAGTTATGATATCAACAGTCCATCTTACTACCTGGATAAACATGTAACTCACAATGCATCTGAGGAAACTTAAACAAGTGCATCAAGGAGTAGAATTAAATATAGTAAGTTGCTCTGATGGAGTAAGTAGTTCTAAAATAGTTACTAGCTTTAAAAGCTATCTAACATTTTTAGGCTTGGAGAAAACTGCCTGGTAAATGTTAAATCTACTTATACAAAACAATACAGTGGTTCATTCAGGACAGGTTTAACCAACCACAGTTTTAAAAATGGCAACATAATCATTACTGACGTTTCAAGCACTGGGATACCTAAGTATCAGAATTTAGGAAGAGGGCTAAAGAGGCCAAATTTCAGTAACCAAAAGACATGGCTTATGTATGACTCAGTGTTCATACAATCACAGCAACTCTGTAATATAAAGTTCAATACAACATGCTTAACAAGATGAATGTGGATGCTGAAGACAGACAAACCACATCACAAACAAGCAGCTTGGAGGTCCCTTCCAACCCTACTGATTCTATAATGTTCAGGGTTTTGTACTTATTTAATACAGCCACAGGAGATGTCTAAGTCAAGGGCTCGTCTTCACAGACAGGACCCAAAATCCTGCAGCTCAACTCTGCAAATGTTTGCACAATGTGTAAATCTATAAATATCTTGAGTTATTTTATAACAACACAATGATTTCTTTTCAGTTTTCGAACTACTGTAAGAGATCTCAAGTTTCTGTACCTAAAATTCAAGAGATATGGTAACACAGCTTCTTTGATGACTGCAATGACTCAGTCTCAGATTTCCCTGCCAGCCTTACTGTACACTGAGGGTGCAGGTTCTGAGTATGGTTGGGTATCCAAGTGGAGTTTATTCTAATGGTGCTGCAAACCACCATCTCACCACACCCTCTATTGCATTAGAGACCCATATGTGAGAGGAGAATATTTGCACATATTTCACAAGGTATTTCATTCTCCACAACCTGTGTGAGTTTACAGTCAAACCCCTCACATAACACAGTCTGTGCTGGGGACAGCAGTATCACAGAAATGACACAAGTTGTCAAAACACAGAAGAGCAGAATTCCATGCAGATGACTCTCTGCATTTGAGCATTTTAAGAAGATTGCAGATCTGCTCCTTTGCCCTCCAAGAAGGGATCCCCATGCTGCTGGCAGTTCCTACCTGGACAGCACAGCCATGGTAGAGAAATCAAGTCATTCTTTTTGTAACTGAAATATGAAAAGTCTTATCTTTACATCCACCGAATGGCTACCAAAGAAAAAAATGCATCTATCTATGAGCTGGCATTAGAATTGCCATTTCACCAAGACAGCCTGGCATTCAGCCATTAAAACACCAGCAGCATGAAAATCCTAACACAGTTCTAGGGAAGGGAGTAAGAAGTCTTTGTTGGATCATATTCCCCTAATATAAAGTCTTCAGAAACAAGAAAATTTGTATCAAATCAAAATACCAAATGCCTCTATTTCCTCTGCCCTTTCAGAAGAAAGGTTTTCCATTTCCAAAAAGATATAGGAATGACAATAGAAAATTCTTGATAAAGCTGTATAGAAAGAGTTAAGAACATAAAAAAAAAAAACCCTGTCCAGTGCAGTTTTTTCATTTGTTTCAAATGGACCATCAGTAAAGATTCTAATTAAATCAGTATTATTCATAATTAGCAGTTAGAAGCTGTAGCTAATTAAAATTTTAGTACATTTCTTTATCTTTGAAAGCCTGAATCTAGTTTGCTACTGAAATTTTTATAAAGCCTGTAAACAAGTATAAATTGCTACACATATGTTTGTAATTTACTAGGTTACGTGCACCAAAGGTTTATGGAATCATAAAAAGATACAACTTTGAAAGAAATTTCAAGAAAACCAGCATCAGAAACTGCAGAAGAAATCAATTTAAGAAGTGGTCTCTGCTAGTGACATGACAAATCATAAAGTCACTGTCTCCTCCGCAGCCGAAGTTAACAGTTGACACAAATCTTTTTTCTAGGCTGAATTCTGACATTAGGTCATAATTAAGAGGGAAATGGGAAAAGAGAAGATGGGGAAAAAAGAAAATAAAAAATAACTCCTCTACCAAGACATAGCAACCAACAGAAGAAACAAAGCTGCCATCCTCCTCTCCTTCCCCCACTCTCTAGATGACTCTTGGATCTGTAAAAGATGAGCTTTAAAGGGCTCAGGGGTTTTACACTGTTTTTAACTCTGGCTCAGTCTTCAGCTTTTTAAAATTTCCAGCTCAGCCCTCACAACTATTCCCCTGCCAGGAGCCAAAATAATCCAGGGTTGAGGCAGTGTGCTCCTCTTTAACTTCCTGACTTGTGCCTCAGAATGCAAGCCTACTCTCCCACCCTCACTGCTGACCTCTGCCTTACTCACGAGCTCCTACTCCTCGGATTAGGATTTACAGCTCCCTCGTCACTCCCTCCTTCCATTTGCCAGTGGGAGCAGAGCCCACCTAAGAGAAGCCAAGCCAGGCTCTCCACAGTGCTGCCAGAGATGGCTCACGAGGGCAGCATGAACTCGGGGTGACACACTGTGCCCTGTGACAGCAGCACATCCCCAGTGCCACACCTGACCGAGCTGCAGCACATCTCCAGCCTGGGCTCTCCACTCCTGCCCAGTGTGCTGCTAAAGCACGGCTGCCCTCTGTGTCTGGGCTTCTAGGAACACCTCTGCAGTTACTCACGGGTTTGGCTTTGCCAGGCTGCACCAAACATGGTCAAAACTGGAAGGCACAAAAGACTGACCAAAGTTTTGGAGGACAGGGGAGGAAGGATAGTGTCCAAAGTATTGTATTTTTGGCCATTAATACATGTATCACTCAGACTTCAAATGTTGTACAAATGTGACAAACATGCAATCAATGAACAGGCTCGAGCTCAGCAACACCAACCACTGACACTTCAGTGAGGGAAAATGTTTTCTTATCTAAAAAAATCCAATTTAACACTATTATGAACTGTATTATTTCTCTCTAAAGCTGATATTACTCTATTTACAAGGTTTTTCTCTTTTAGACTCTGTCATTCATCCATTACCTACTTTAAGACTTAAAATATATGCCAAATATTTTTCTTCTTTAAAGGCTTCTTAATCATCCTAGTACTCACATGCTACTCAAAAGATGCAAATTGCATGAACATTTTGTTTGGATAGAGATAACACACTGCTAGTTTTGTGTGCTAGCAAAGAATAAACTGAGTATTTCAGAAGATTTACAAAAACAAGAATAGAAAAAAAAAAAAAAAAAAAGCTATCTGAGAATTGGTTTTGTTAATTCTCATCTCCCCTCAACTACATAAGCTTATATTGAGAAATGTCACCTTAAAAAAAAAAAGTTCCTCTGAGAGCCCTTTGAAACCATGTAACCAAAAGGTCATTAATGCTACTCATGCAGGCATAGATTTACAAGATTCCTTCCAACAACTTGAATAAAGCTCAAGTCAATTTTTAAAAAATGCATCCATATTATCACCTTAATTTGTCCTAGCATTTCTAGGTAACACTATTGTCATAAAGGCTTGTTCAGAGGCAGAAACGTACATTAAATTATGCAAACAAAGGAGAGAAAATACCCAAAGAATGCTGAAAGTAATGTCCCAGTGTTACAGCATTTCTGTATTTGTCCATGGTGCTGACCATTTCTTAATAAAGAACACCTTTAGGACTGTATTTTTATTATTACTTAAAAACAGCTTTAGCTGGTCCTAACCCTTTTCTTCCTCCTCCTGAGTGGGTACAGTATTTTTACCATGTAAAAGACTCCACCTGTCCAACATCTGTACCTCAGAGAAAGCTTACCTAAAGAATGTGCAGCTGTGGTTTTGGAGCTGAAAAATCGACCAAGACCAAGATCTCCCAGCTTTACTACTCCTGTAGCTGTAATGAACACATTTGCTGGCTTTATGTCTGGAAGAAAAATAAATTTAAAAATTTAGAAGTCACAGTGAGGTTGCAAGAAAAGCTACTCTTCTATTAACAATAGATCCAAAGAGGATTTTATTTACAGCTAATATTAGTAAAATTTGACAGTTCTATTCAGAAAGAATGGGTCCAGACACAGGATTTCAAATCCACTGTTTTAATAGTACAACCATCACTCAAGCGAAGAAAACCAAGAGCCATGGAAAGTATTTTTTTAAAAAACAAGCAAACAAAAAAATCCACACCCCCAAAGTCCAGAAGCACATACAGGGGATTTAATTACTGCTTTATATAAGCTACATAGAAGGACTTACATTAGAACCTCTTTTGTTATATCTTAAGTAACAGCCTAAAAATGTTTTCAAGAACTCCAAAGCATTTTTTATCACTTTTGCTAAACAAATTACCCACAGTGGCATAACGCTATTTATTTGAAATAGATTACTGATTCTCTATAAGAGCAGGCATTATAAAAAAGAAGCAAGTTTACTCAAGAGAATGGTTATTTGAACTCGTCAACAGAATTAGGCTGATCAAGTAGAAACAAAGAAAAATAATGATGTATACTCCAGACAGTTATTTTTCACAAGTAATATCCAGTTTAAGTTTTAATCCAATCCCTTAGAGACAAACAGCAGAGACTCTTGTTCTATGATTTCTAACAAGATACCTACCTTGTTAGTCTTCTAAATAAACTGACTTGTTATTTGTTTGGCAAGGGAGTTTAGCTTACTCTGAGGAAGAGCAATCTACCCTGGCCCTAAACTCCCAGAAATCAGTTCCCTTTGATAAAAGGGGATTACAGCTTATGTAAGATACAGTCACAGTAATAGGAATGGTTAATAACCCTTCAAACACCAGCATTTTCAGGTTTCCAGTAAAAAAGTTACAAAACTTTACAAGCTTTAGAGGAAGACAGAAGCAATTATGTTCTCCTGCTATCTGACCCAGTTTTCAGGAGTTTGGATAACTCTTTGTGGAATAATCCAACATGGATACAGCTCAATTTAAAAATAGCTTTAAGTGTCACTGCTTTTGGTGTGTAACCATGGAATCATTAATTTGCCATAGGTTTGCCAGAAGCATTGACCATAGTACTTCAGTTTAAGGAACTTAAATCCTTTTGAGCTAAAATATACAGAAATTAACTAATATAATTATAAAAATACTAAAGGAAGATACTTGTACCCTATGGAAAGAATCTGTATTTTATGTCCTTCTCTGTATCATTTGCACTTGCAGGCATCTGTACAAATGCACAAAGGGTCAAAAAAAGGAGAAAGGGGAAGGCATTTGCAGGGGCAGGAGTATCTAAGCTCATCTGCTAAGGGTGCAAAATTTCCAGCTGCAAATGACAGAGCTCAGCAAACATCGAGGGACTGCTTCTACCAGGTAGTGAGCTGCACTCCAGCACAGGGAGCCACCAACCTAAGACAGGTAATGTCACCTGAACCCAGAAAGTGACAGCCCACACACAACTCACAGTCCCATAACTCGAGGGATTTCAAACAGGAAAAAAAAAAACAAACAGCAGATCTGAGAAGAAGCTATACTATGATTTGTTTCCTTTGACTCAAGAGTTAGGAGGTGAATGAAGACCACATCCAGACGAGACAGCAGCACCAAGGTTTAAAATGGGCCAAGGAAATTTAGTACCTGACAGGGACAGCTGGCATCTACAAGGGCTGTTGGGACACAGAGATTGAAAATCGTGGAAAGGAGCAGAGAATTGGAGGAAATGCTCAAACCTGCACATAATCCAATAGAGAAGGGATTAGGAGAAGGGTCAGTACATCACAAGCAAGTAGGGCAGGAGCAGATACTCTTTAAGACAACCAGGTGCAAAAGGTATAAAGAATGGACTGACAGATCTGTGCATGCAGGTAACAGCACTTGGGCAAGACAGTGGGCAAATACAGAAGAATAAATACAGGACAGAAAGTAAGAGCCTGAAAAATGAGGCAGCTATGGCAGGGTATCCATCACTTACAGAACTATTGCTTATTTTGAAAAACCTGCTATCAAACAAATCCCTATACCACAACAAATGTACAGCCACAAACTTCTCTCAGTTTTCTATTACAAAATCTTCCAGAAACATACAATGTTTCAGCTGTCAAAATTGATTGCAGCCAGCTTAATTCTCACATAGTCAAAGGTTTAGTAAGGACAAATCATCTTTGATCCTGTATTACCTCTATGCATAACACGACGAGAATGCATATGTTCCAAGGCACTGCAAAGCTGAACAAAGTACTTCCAAACTGTTCTTTCGGGAATCAACCTCTTCTGCTTCTTAAAATGCTTAAAAAAAACATGGATAGTGAATATTAAAAATTAAAACTTGCATAAAATGACTGAAAAAATTACAGAAAATCCTTAATTAAAAAATAAAAAAAATACGAGAGGCTCACAACCTAATGAGGAAGGTTTAACAAAATTTCTTGACACAAAAAACCTTCCCCTTAAATATTAATATATGTATCATCACTGCATGTGTATAAGTCAGTCTACACACAGAGCCACAAATAACATTAGTGGAATAAAACTCCTACCCCAAAAAAGGATTTATACAATATTTAGTACTCCTGAGTGTTAGATTAATGTGGTCAGAATAATCTAGTATAAAGAAGCCACAGAACAAATAACCGTCAGATACAAAGTTATGTGCCACAGAACATCCCAAACTAAACACACTTCCTTACACCAAAATTGATTTCCATACTCTTATTTTCTAAAAAGAAGAAAAAAAAAAAGAAAGAATAGCAGTATCACCCATTCACAAAGATTACATAAGAACAATTGATCACATTAGTTTTAAAATTTCCACAATATATGAAAGTGAACTAAAGGAACTGTGATTTCTGAAAATTCCACAGTAATGTAATTCCTGCTCAAATATTTTCTATCCCGTATCAAAACCCATTCCTGATCACTGGTAACATTTCACTGGCCTGTTCAAGCTTACATGAAGCAATTACACTCTGCTATAAACATCATCTTCAAATGTTGTATTCAAGAATTGAGTAATAGTTTACCTACTGAAAACCTGGAATTCAGCCAGTGTTAAAATGCACAAGTTTAATCATTATAAATTCTGCAGCTAAAGGGAAAAAGATGGAAAAATTGTTGCTTGTTTAGCCTGTTTCCAAAGAAATCATATTGTGTCAGGTTTTGAAGTTACACCCAAGGAGAAAATAAATGAACAACATTACGACTAGCAAAATTTTAGATGGAAAGCAAAGTACTTGATGGATTTTAATTGTGTGTACAGACAGACTTCACATTCATGCACGCCTTAAGAAAGTTCACATAACAAACATTTATTAATTTGCAAAAAACAAGAATATTTTCATACTATGTTAAAACATGCCACTGAGAAGCTGACAGCTGCATCTGCACATTAGAGACACACAGGAGTATGAGAGAGATGCTTTTAAACTACCTATAGCAAAATGCATCAGTTGTACAAAGGATCTTAACATTCCACCAAATGTTTAGTTATAGGGATTATTTCAAAATGCATTTTCATTTAAATGAGGCAAAGCATATAAATTACGTCTTTAAATATAATTTTCTTTCAGTCTTGGACTGAATCCAAACAAACCCTGTGTATCTGTTCTCCCCATAGCTGGATTTGCATATCAGAGGATTGTTTGATGTCAACAGGAAGATGGAGACCAGGTTTCTTTTCATTTAAAAACAAATACACAATACATCTAAGTACGTGTACATGAAAGCATAGTTCCTTGATTTAAAATGCATTCTGAAATTACCATAATTATAACTAGGTATTTTATTTAAACATTCAGAATTATTATTTTTTCAACTCGAATGCAAGTACAAGCAGTGATGAAACGCCATTCACAAAATGCCTGAAATGGGAAGATTTTCGATTACACATTCCCATTCCAATTTACCTAAAGTACATCAGTGTACTTTCAAAGTATTTATGTACAAGTCTGCTTTTAACACTTTATACTCTTGCCATCCATAGCACTGTAGCTGATGTACACTACAAAACTGGTTTCAGTTCTTACAGTGCAAGGATGCAACTTAAAGCGTGTCAGACATGGTCTCATTCTGCTGAAGGCACTAATAATTGTTCAGGATAATAATAACCTCCTCCTGAAAGCATCAATGATATTACTTAACCCCAGAGAATTTATCCATCTAAAGAGGATGGAAAAGAGAGCTGCTAGATTTGCTAACAGTGTTTAAAACTAAACAAAGAAACAGGCAGCATTTTCATTTGTATGGGCTTAAAAATAATATAATTATCTTTAAAATAAACTCAATGAACATTATGTTGTTCAGTAATTAATTACGCTATCTTCTTCCCTCAAAATGCACATTCTCATTTTTTTCTTCGGGTGTTGTCCACCAATAGGCAAAACAGTGATGAAAAGCCACCACCAGAGAGATGAATTTTGCAAACTAGCTATTGAAACAAGTTGTACCCTTCTAGGAAACAGTCCAGCAGGCACAGTTAATTCTGAGAAAAGTCAATAAGGAAAATTCCATTTCTGTTTGGAACCTCACCTTCTAACAAGAAATGGAAGTTGATGGAAAACACAGGCAAACCTATTTTTATGCCAAACAGCATAATTGAATTTCTATAGCACACATGAACTGTATTCAAAGCAGGATCCTTTCCTTTCTCCTTCATTTTAAAATAGCCCACAATGCAAAATGCAATTCTAACGATTGTGGCATTTGCTCCCCCCTACAGGGAAGCCAAAATGCAGAAGATATGATGCTGCAAGAATAATTTTTAACCTCTATTGTAGCACAGCATAGCAGCACCACAGTCAGTGCTGAAACTAATGCACTGCTTAGTGCCTGAAGCATTCTAAGGTGCACAGCACCAAGTTCAGTCCATCCAGCTCTCCCCCACTGCACACAGGTTGGCATCACCTGCCCGGATTTGCCCTCGGAGGAACACAGCCTGACACACGGCTCTCTGAAGTGCTCTCATCTTCAACACTTCATTATTCTCCCTCTTCCACCTGTCTTAGGCTCAAAGGACAGTCCTGATATCCCTCAGACCACTGACCTTCTAGGGTGGGACATTAAAAAAACATGATCCTGTCTGAGGTGAAAGATCAACCTCACACTAGTTGAAACTGGGCAAAAAGAGAGCTGCTTGTACATGTGCATTAAAAATTTGGGCAGTGCTGCAAGCCAGGGCTTTATCAGGTAAACAGAACACCAGGCACGCTTCAGCAGCAGGCTGCCTCCCAGCAAGAATTATTTGCTTCTAAAGTCATATTCCATGGAATTTTCATCTCCATCTGAGAATGGACTCATAAAAGCCTACTTTGAAGAGTCACCACAATGTCAGTACATTGTGGATAAAACTACAATTCATTTAACACAACTGGACATTTTGGTGGTCATAAATTTGCTAATCAAATGCCTTAAAAGATCTTTCAGGCAAGCAGGCTGTATCATGAGTTGATATTTTCATCCCTTTTACAGGATGGCTGAGCAGTTTCATCAAGGGAAAACAGAACTCTCCTGCTAAAAGAAAAATTAAGGATTCTCCAAATGATTCCATCCTAACAAAATTACATAGCTGCCCTGCACCGAAATAGCAAATGCCATTCAGTTTCTTGACAAACAAAACGTAAAGGATAGATGGAGAAGAAAGTGTGAAGTCAACATAAAGGCACGAAATTATATTATACTGAGTTTCTAAAGATGATGCTTTAAAGGTCAAACTCCAAAAGTAAAAGTGACAGCAGTTAGCAGTTGGTTCTACCTAGGCATAAAAGGCACAATTCAGACAATACTTATAGGAAACACGAAGGGCTATGTTTGGGTTCTTTAAGAAAACTAAGGATTTCCTGCAGATGAGTAAGAGTGAATGATTTCCACACAACTAGAAATCCAGATATGACTGCTTACATCTCAATAACCATGCTTGGAAAAAAATTAGCATTCAGTTCTGATGCTGGTGCATTGGAGGATTTTAAGGTGTGATTTCGTCTGGTTCAGGTCTCACTAAATAGAGAAAAAATAGGAATAAATAAGAAAAAAGATAACACAATGAGTGTTTAAGAAGCTAACTGGACTAAAGAAAGTACAATGTTTATGAACTTCTCTTGCAGAGTGTGATAAACTGATCATCTAAGCAATTTTGCAGAGTCATAATTAAAAAATAGAAAAGAACTGTGGAACAGTCAAACAAGCCCACAAGAACATATATCTGAATTTTTCCCTGCACATGTTATAGCCTAGAGCTGTTTCTTGGAAGACAGTATTTGGAAGAAAAGCAAAATGAGAATGATGATTTCATTACTTTAAACAGATGCCTTTCTTTCTTTCATGATTTGATAAGAATCTTGATCACATCTTTTTGTTCTCATGACTTCATTTACAGCTTAAAAAAACAGAAAGCGTGGAAGGTTTTTATATTTTACTGTATAGACTTATAACAGTGATTCAACAACCAGATACTAGTGGGAAGAAATCTGAACTGCATTAAGAGGAAAGAGATGCAAAAATGATTGCAAGGACCTTCTCAGTAACACAATAAAGCTCTTGACCACTTGTGACTGTGTTTCTTGGAGAGTTTTCTAAATATGGACAAGCAGGAAGAACAAAGTGGAAAGAAGAGGTCAGGCAGCCATAATAGGAAATTATGGAAGCACAAGCAAGAGTTCTCACCTGTGAATACAACAGAAACAAACCACAACAGGCAAGGGCACGCAGGGTCAGAAAGACAGACCAATGAAGATGGGCCACAACATCCCAATATTTTGGAGACTTGTGAATATAGAAAGCAAGTCTGTACCTAAATCTTGTTTTCTGTTTTAAAATCTGTATTATTGTAGTAGCAATGCAGCATCCCAGGAGTTTTGTCTGGTTCTGTTCTTTGAGTAAATCAGCTACCCATCTCTTTAGACCATGGCAACTTCTCTGCCATTTTTCTTTGCTTTCTATGCAGAACAGAAATAGAACTTCCCACCACATCCTGATTCATTCATTGAGTTTGATATACAGTGTCATCAAATTTGCCTACATTTCAAGAGTAGCAGCTGTCTCTTATTTGTAAAAAGAGAACATACACCAAAAAAACCCACCCAAACTATTTGTCATCTATCAACTGAACATACCAAAAGCAGCAAGTATTCAGAAAATAAACTGATGAAAATAAAAATATTTACCTTTTTTTTTCCAACTTTTATTAAGAGTTGCTTATATCTCTCCTTACTCAAGATGCCATACTTTTATTTTACCCTTTCAGAATTCACAAAAAAAAGAGCTTTAAAAATTTAATCTTCCTCTATTAGTCATCT